CGACCGCAGTGACTATAGCTTCGAAACGCTTTTAAGGTGCTGCGAAATAGTTTCGGCGGTGCAGCGCGCTCGCTGATCGAAGGCCGGTGGCTGCTGCCGTTACTCTCTCTACCCACCCCGGCTGCGGTTGTTTAATGGTCTCTCCTGTTTTCAAGGGAGAGGGTTAAACACAATGCCCGTCCCCGCCCGCCACCGCCGCCGATGGACACGGAGCGGCTTTATGCGCTCCTTACATAGTAATATACGCGTATGTGCACGCACTATGCGCCAGAGTGTGTGTGGGTGTATATATGGGTTCTGCCGTCCCGTTTTCTCTTCCGCGCACACACACATGCCCACCCACCCACACACCCGCACACCCATACACGCACACATTCTCTTTCTCCTTCGCCGCGGCGCGGTCCAAGAAAGCCGAGCGCCCGGGCCACAGTTTTGCGGCTGGCTCCTTATATTCGCTTCCCGCCGCCAAAACAATACGGCCAAACACAACCCTCTCTCGGACCCTCGACCTTTTCTTAGTAATTAGTTTGAACCCTTTAAACTTTGCCTAACAAACCCACCGTCCGCAGTGTCCTGCACATCCTTTACCCGCACGACCCCACCACCATTTCGCTATATAGTCCCGCATATACGAGCACGACACACATGCCCGAGCCTGATTACCGATTGGCCACCGCCTCCGCCGACCGATTGCGCGATAAATAACGGTCGCGGGGATCTTCGTTCAATTAGACCGGCTCACCACCCATCCTCGTCATCGTCATCATATGGTTGAATTACATTATAAGAAGACGCGTTACATAAGAAATCCATTTAGCCTCGTTCGGCGGCGGTGGGGCCTAAGACTGCAGTGGTTACAAACTTTTGGACGGGGGCGAGTAATAACTAATAGATTTTATACTATTCTATAGGATTTCAACGGAAAAACCAAGTCGAGTTTATATTGTACTTTGGTTTTTCATTATAATAATGTGTGCATCAGTGCGCCACACACATAATAACAATATAGTATCTATATTGTTGTTTTTAGAGTTTAGCCTTTTTTTTTTGACTCGGGTATAAACTTTATGCACTTATATATTATATTATTGTTATGTATCAGTAAATGACTCATGTATTACGTTTTCCGTAGAGATTTGACGATAATAGTGCGTTGTTTTTTGGTAATCCAAAATTATTATATTTGATTGATTCAGATTATCTATAGGTAGGTTTCAATCCTATTGCAATCACATTACAAAATATAAATTTACATATAATATTATTACCTACTATCTTTTTTGGTATATGATGCCTAATTTCTAATTATCATTCAAAACTTCGGTATTTTATTTATTATTTTAATAAAAACATTTATTAAACTGATCATATTTACTTAAATACAATAATTTCAGTTATAAAGACTGCAAACATTAATATTGAACCATTATAATAATTTACTATGAACGATCATTTGTCGGTCATGGCACGAACAATATACGGGTAATATAATAGTATTAATGTATTATATTTTACGATACCTATAAGTATATAACATTGAGTACATACGCAATTAAGAATTTATATTTACCCATATGTAAATCTGTTTTAATTTTAATAACAAGATGAGGAGCAACTCACGTATCATAACATGTGAAGGGGTGAAAAACGGAAGGGCTGAAACGCTTAGAACGAGTGCGACCCAAATCAATTTTCAAGTGCAGAAGTTGTTCGCCTTTTGGCTAGGATCCACGTCACGGGCACGCGCGTATAAAACGGTAATGAGACGAAATAATTTCTGCTACCTAAACATACATCAACATCAACCGGCCTGACGCGCTGTCATTTTTAGATCGTTTTCTGGTTTTGGCACGACTACGCGGTTAATTTACATTGCCGACATATTAATTATTAAATTTATGTACAACATCGTGCATTTTCCTGTGAACAAGGTTTATGTTACTTTTATTTTAAGTTAAAGAAAATCAAATCGTGGTGTGGTTTATACGTCATATTATAATTACATTAAATATATATTGATATACTGCGCATAGCATATAGTTTAGTCTATCGAGTATCGAGTACCTATTATATTAAATATAAGACTTATACCTACATAAGGATTCGTTATTTTTTTACTATAAGAAAATACGCAGGATTAATATTGAAACGTGCAATATTATTATTTTCTATAAATTTAAGTCCTTGAGATAATAATATATTCAACAATTTTAAATTTCTATGTATTAATACAATGTATTAAATCACATCATTCGAAAAATATATTTTTGAATAAAATAATCTAATATAGAAAGGTACTATAACTAAAATAGATTAAAATTTAGTTACAATAGGATATATCAATAGGAATCTATACTTATAAGTTATAGCAAAGGTGGGCCAAGTTAGTGAAAATAATTGACTCAAATGAAATTAAATGAAGTGAACTTAATACCGTGAAGTTAGAACTTAATAGTTAGTAATAATAATACATATGGACAAAAATATTAAAATAACTAGGTTTAAAAAAAAAAGTTAACCCATTTTTTAATAAATACGTGGATCACATAAGAAGTATTTTGTGACTAGGTACCAATCTAAATATAATATTTTTTTTCAAGAAACATAACTGTAATTATAGTATTATTATAAGTACCTATTTATTACTGTGATTATACATTAAAGTATTAGATTATTTAAAAATTTAAATTTTAAAACCGTGTATAAACATTAGAGAGCAATAATTAATGTATAAAATCATTAAAATTAACAATTAAAAATAGTTTAGAAAAAATTAACTTTTTAACTAGTTGATGCCCACACTCGGTACATAGTTGTATTTACGACCATTAAAAATAATTGCTTAAGCTTGGGTCTTAGAATTCATTATATTCTCATAAATGAAAAATGTACCTATTTTATACTAGGAATATTGCTACGTAATTTTTTATTCCTTTTAATGAATAAATCACAGATATTATTGTGGTTAGTAGATAAAAATATTATACGGAATAACAAATTATATTTACAAATAATAATTAAGTTTAAATTCAAATATTAAAGCATATACATATATATATATATTCAACCATTTCTCCAGTGTCGTCATAACTATTGGTTTGAATGTTGTTTGATTAATAATTAAAACCAGAGAAAATGGCCGAAGTCACTTTTGACGTTGCTCGGTAATCTTCAGAGTTTGGAAATGACAGAGATATTTTTACTTTTATGGTTTGCCATAAATACAGACGAAAGATTTAAACGTCTTAAATATTTATTTTAAAAAAAAAAAAAACTTTCCAAAGTCAACCACTTTCAAGATTGACAAATCCAATTAAGAACTATTATTATATAAGTATGGAGGATAAAAAATAAGCAAACAAATTAAGTCTCGTGTAAATTACTGTTGAAACCGTTGGAGCAGATAGCGTCAAAAGTTTTGTCGACAGTACAAAACCCCAAGAATTCATAAATACAATTCAACTTAAATAATACTGATTGCTGATTAAAATGAAACAGTTTTTAATGTGTCGAGTTTTACACAATTCAAGTTTGGATTATTTTCCATGATATTTGAAAATAACGGTACAAAAGATTATTATCGATTGAATAAAGTTGTTAACCATTTATTATTTTTAAATGTATCCATCTTAAATATCAACATTGTTTTTTTCCCTACCATTATAATATCCAATTAAAATAAAAAATGTAATGTTTAATATTATTTATTCATAGATATGAGGCTTATATATTTATTACAATTCCTAATATTCAGTAAATTCATGTTATTTAATTTTTGAATGATTTAAAAACAAAATTAAATAATGTTAAATTGTTCCACTTTACATAGGTATAATGTATATCTTACAATATAATGTATAATGTATAACTTATAATGTATAACTTACAACCGAAAATTGATTCTTAATTTTACTTAAATTCATTTTTTACATATTATTATTTTGGTTAGACATTGCCTCTTACAGAGTAGGTATCCATATTATAACTCTTACTGAAATATTCATAATAGGTAATCATAGGTAAATTTTTATGGATTTTATGATATAATTTATATCATTATACGTATTAAATATAACGCAGTATTATTATTAGTAGGCAACATAATATAATAAACGTATTAAGTAGTGAAAAGAAGTTTTCATTGTTATAATTAGGCATTAGGGCTGGCTGGTATTTTGATGCTCTTTGCTGCAAAGAATTGCATTGCTTACCAAAGCTAGCTACTCGAATCTCGTCTTATAACATATAGGTTTGCATGTATTTTGAATCCGAATAAGAAGTTTTTAATTTGCATTTAATGACATTATTTATTTTCAATTTTATTATAATTTTTTCCATTTTTTTTCGTTTTATAGCATTTTAGGATTTTATGACATTTAAATCTAAAAACTGGCTTTTACTTAAAAAAGTTACTTGTAAGGTGTATCAAAGGTTTTACTATCCAATTGAATATTATATATTTTCAAACGGATCTGTGTAACCTAAATATCGAGATTTCGAGAAAATTACGGAAATTTAAATGAGAATAATCCTTTATTTTGACTAAAAGTCCACGTGGAATAGTTTGAAATTGTGTATAAATAAAAACTTTTTTAAAATGTAATAACAAATATTTTTTGGTTCAAAAGTTGTTAAGGCGTTCGTTTAAATAAATTGGTGTGTTTTAGCGTATATTTAAGAACGCGTATAACTTCGTTATAATAATAATAGATTTAAAAAAAAAAATAAAAAGTTCAATCAATTTGTTTTTGATTACCGCCATTATATAAATGTTGATAATCGGATTAATGTAGCTATAACAAATCGCGTTGTTTTTGCACAAAAAAAAAAAAAATGTCTCTTAATTCGAATAAACAGTATACCTAACTATATCGTATAAAGTTATTGCAACTCTAGCAGCAGACGCGGCGCTGTGTGCGTACGCGTATAAGACAGTGTGATATAGATTATAAAACATTTCGCGTTATAAATCGACAGCAAGTGCCTATACGATTCGATGGATGTATACGTATATTGTATTCGATTACACGTCGCTGGAGAGCTCCGACGCCAGTCCGGTCGCGGGTGCGGTGGACGAGAGACATGTCGGGACCGAAAGCATCTCGGCTCTGAGGCAGATCCGACGGGGTGAGGAAGCACGACGACGGCCGGAATACGTGATGAGCCGCTGCTACGCGCCTCGTTCGTTTGTTATGCCGGACCTGTTATCGCACAAAGGGCTCGAACCCTTCAACTTTGACCGGGTAGGTGCCGGGTCGGCGGCAGTGACGATGGGTTTATGAGGACGGGCCGCGGCCGCATGGGCAGAGGAGAAGGGCGAGCAGGTGGAGGAGGAGGACGACGACGATACTGTAGAAGGACGCTGCAAAAAGAAGGATTTGAGGCTAAGGAGGCGCTGCAGGACAAAGTATTAAAAAAGGACCACGGATTTTTATCATATTACACGAAAATATTATATAATATATTGGACGTATGAGGGAGGCTGTAGTTCGTACATGGAAGTAGTGAAAAAAAGTACTATAATATCGCCTCGCTGCAATAAGGTACACGCGGTGACGACACAATATTATGACGGCGAGTGTGGGGGGTGCGGGCGAGAGCATTACTCTATTGGATGGATTATAGTTTAAAATAAAAAAAATTATTCCAACAAACGCGTGGAGAATTGATGTGGAGGTTTTTTTTTACAATCACTCTCGTATCAAAATAGTCGTTTGCGGTAAACGTTGCGCTTTCCATCACCGCGTTCTCGAGGCTCGACGTAACATACGTGACCACGATTTAGGTGTATACCTATGAGAACGTGTGGCCCTTGGGCGGAATATAATATTGTGAGAGCTCCGAATAAAATATGAACGGGACGAACGATACATTTTGTATTATTAAATATATATTAATATGATAAATTATCAAACTTGGTTGATTCTTCGGAACACGATCATTATTCCCGTAGAGGTATTTTGGTGTATGCAATTAAATTGGCACAGGGCGTCTTAAAATAGAAAAATAAAATACAATACCTATTATATTATATATATATATTTTTTTAAATATGTGGTTTAAAATAAAAAAGGATTTATTTTCTATTAATAACAAAACTGTGGGGGTCCATGGGATGTGCCTCCTCTACATTAAAAAAAAATCTGTCCCTGAACGTAACGTTTTTAACCTATTTATAGTTTTAGATTTTCCACAGAAAATCATAGACATTATAATCATTTAATATGGGCAGTAAAATTTGTTTTTTTTTAAATTGATAAACTCTAATATTTTAGAAAATTTTTCGATTTTTAATGAAAAGATTTATAGAGTTTATTTAATTTGTATAGTATAATATACATAATATTATGTAAACAAAATATTGTCAATAACTATTAATTGTACTCGATCATTTAAAAATTGTTCCGTATACAATCGTACAACAATTTATCAACCTTTTTATTATGGTGGCTTTCGGATATTTAGTTTCCAATATTATTAATTCTGAAACCTAATTGAACTGAATTAAAAAAATGGATTGAAAAAGCCAATGGAAACTTTTTAACAAAATGCGCGTATTTATTAGTGCATCCGATTAATGTTTTCTGTTTCGGAATTGTTTTTTTTTTATTCATTATACAGTGTTTCTGGAACTGTTTTTCGAATACTAATGAGTGTTTGGTAAAAAAAAATATAAATGTATATACCAAATAAAAACTATTTAATTAGGGTGCCAATTGCGGTCCAAGTTTATTTGTTAGCTATAAAGAATAATATTCAAATTAACATTCGAGGGTTTTAAAAACTGAAACCAATGTTAGTCAATGAATGTAACGACATATAGAGGGAACAACGAAAAAAATGAGTTTACTAAATTCCAAACAGTGAAAGGGGTGATAAAAAGAGTTGTGTAACAAAAGCACATTTTATATTTAAGAAGAAAAATCATTAGATATTGTTACATTTTAATTAATTTAAAACAAACAAAAAAAAAATATTGTAATTAATTAAACTAAAAAAACGCATATTTATATGGAGTGTATCACGAGATGTTAACAATCAACAAAGAATTTATTATAAATATATACAGGGTGATTCACCAAGTTTTCTCAACCCTTTTTTATCCTTGATCATTGCATTTATTCAATTTGTTACTTTTTTTACTTTTTTATATTTTCATGTGCCTACCTACACTTATAGATAATTAGATATTCTAAACCATTTAAACGAGTAGGTAGTTTAAGAGTTTTTAAATATATTAATATATTAATCCTTGTTCCTTAATAATTATTTTACATCAGAATATTATATGTAAAATATTAAATTATAGTACCTACTTATTATACTCAGATAATAAATTTCCACTAACATAAAATACTAATACATTTAATATTAACCACCAACATTTTCAAATCATCATAGCCCCATTTTATTAAACCTATTATCATTGTATCCTTGAATTGTACAAAAATCTTAATATTTGAAAGTCGATTCTAAACCTACTTATACTTATCTACTTAAAATTCCAAAAATCGTTAGTAAAAGGTTAGTTTAGGATGAGATTGAAATTAATTCTTTTAATATTTAGAGTTATTGTTAAAGCAATATCTTAAAAAAACTAAATTGCTTGAATATCTAGTTGTAAGTAAGTTTAAAAATGTCTACTCAAAATAACTTAAAAATAATATAAATAAGCAAAAAAATATCAAATACTTTTATGTACTACTGTACTAGGATCTATTAGTTAGAACTCATAAGGTATGATATATTTAAGTACAATAATATACTATGCTCATAATAGTTATTCTAATCTATTTAGTATTTATGATGTTTTTCATATAATTAACTTTTTAGCATCTAAATTATTTTAAAACATTTTTAATGAAGTATATTTAACTAAAGTATAAAATACGTTAAGTTTTCAATGATGTATGATTTAGTTGTTAAACTAGGTCATATAATTAAGTTTTGTTTTTCGTACATAAACAATATTATAGATTATTATGCTCGTTAAAATCGTTCATAAAACTATTTTACTAATTGATTAATCTACTCGTAGACATTTTTTTTTTTAGAAATGCTGTTTAGGAAATATGTTCGTAGATGATAGTTTGGGTCAGCGAAATGATTGTTTCCGGGATGAAATATTTCATGTTTTGTGCTATTACTTATAGTTTAAGCCACGCGCACTGATTTTTTGATAACATCAACGTGAACGCGTATTCTGTAAGTCGTAAATATTCGCATATAGTAGAACTACTGGTGTGGTGAGAAAAAAATAGCAAAATAAATTTCTCTGCTGGTTGATATGTTTACGAGAGGTCCGACATAGAATATATTATTATTTATGTAAACAAAACGGCGATCCGAATACGTTGTTTGATTTATTGACGTGGGTCGCGTGTGGGACTTTTCGGTAGGGAAAGCGAAAAAAAAAAAATATACGAAAAACGAGTAAAACTTTGTGTGAGACGGACCGAAAGGGAAACCCGCCCATGTATAAATCCAAGTCATTTTCAATCAGAAAAATGGCAACCACCACGGGACGGCGGAGGTGGGGCAAAACACACGATATTTGCATGCATACGTCTCCGGGGATGTCTGGTCAGCCTCCGGGACTTTTCTACGGAAAACTGACCGTTCTGTACCGCCGGCGGCGCCTGGTTTTCTGACAGCTATTTGACACGGAAAACATTATAACGTGACACACCGGACACCCCGGTTTTCCGATGCATATTCTATTTCCCCCTTTTTTTTTTTTTCCCCGAGAATAGTTTTGATATGTGTCTTCCGGACTTCTATTACTGGTAAAAAAAAACCGAAAAAATAAAATAATAAATGTATACGCAGTCGTATATACCTACTATCGTATATGTACTGCTGCGCATTCGCTGCAGTTATCCAGTTTGATTTATGCCGGTCGGACGTGCGGTCAAACCGCTGACAGGTCTCCGCCTCGGGGCTAATTGTGGTTTTCCGCGGTGTTTATATTATACTGTGCAATATGTCAATATTACATGTGGAAAATACGGTAGATAGATGTATGTTATTTGTTTGCGTTTGGATATCAGAAGTATATTATATGATATTCATTTGCATCAGAAACTTTGGGATCTTAAATCGCACAGTTAAAAATGATAATTTAAGTAAGGTAGACGTTTACATCGTTCTACTAAATATACTTTCATGCCATGTGACTTGTTAGTAATTAGCATTGAGAAATATATGATTAAAAAACTAAAGATCATTTTACAGATGTATCCTTAATACATATGGGTACATATTAAACAGCTGTGATGTATATTGCTAAAGAAATTCATTATAAATAAGCGCCTTTTTCATTCGTAGGTAAAGGTGACAATGGTTATAATCTAGTAATTAAGTTGATGAGAGAAAAAATTCTTAGAGCCCTTATTATGCGTATCAGGTACAAATGTACAATAGCTGTATATTTTTCGATGTCTATTTTGGATATTTATTTTGGTAATTTGCCAAAAATAACAAAAATAACAAAAATTGAACAACATACCTACGTCATGACTTATATAAGACTGATTTGAAATTATCAGCTGAATTAAAAATACACATTCTTAAACATAAAATATTGGGGGTTTTTATTGGTGGTTCGGTCTTTGGTTTTCAAATATTTTTTTTATAATCACCTTATATTTACTAAACATCTTCTGATTTTAATATGTAATATAATCTATTATATAATATAGCTGTTTACAGCTGGTTTGTTCAATTGTACAATTTATTATCGTACAAATTTATTATTCCATCAAACTACCTATACTTTTCTTAACAAAACGAAAACTTCTATACATTTTTTTGTGTGTGAAAAACTTACTTAATATTTTTTTATATTTTTTTTCCTTATAAGAACGGCTTATTTATCATAAAATTCCAAAATTATGCCTTATTTAAAAACTGCGTATTGAAAACAATTCAAAAAGCAAATACCTAAATTCACAACACGGTGCATTTAGTATAGGTATTTAAGGTGAAAACTCAAAATAGTAATCACATATGTTTACCTATAATAGTATCATCCACATTTAAACATTTTCAATTTTACGTTACCTACATAATCTCATGTCTTTAAACTGTGAAACGTTTCAGTAGTATTTAATTCTAGTACCAAGTTTGAGGCTATTTCAATTGATTAGTGATGACTAATACGAAACCACAAACTAGATCAAAAGCATCTTTAGTTTACAGAAGTTCTTCATAAAATAGCATCTCAATGAGGTAAGAGTATATTATAATATTCTATACTATGTACTCTATTCGTCAGCGCAGT